AGGGTTACCAAATTGCGTCATGATCGGGCTATATCTATTTCCGGTCCCGGGTTCACGCGAGTTCACTCTCCTTGGGGAAGTTCTCTTCTTGGTCATATCCGTCGAATTATTCGCTTGGATTTTCATCGTGTAATACCGGCTGTTCGGGGTTAAAGGCAGTTTCACTCTGGATAACTCGTCGCGACGATTATGGCTCGATGTGTCTGCTGGACCGTAGGAGATTCTGTAAAATGGTTGTACCGGTGTATGTATATGTAAAGGATATGTGTATGCATATACAGGGTGTCCCAAAGTTACCTGACCAACGGGGTATGGCGGTGTTCCGGAGGCACCACTGATCACGAAAATGACCTTCCTTTTGTCCGGAAGGTCATAGTTTTTAAATGGGAGCAGGTCAAAGTTGACCAATCAGAACGAGGCGTCAAGAGAAACTTAGGCACCTGCGAACTCTGAGTTTTCTTCCCTCGCTTTTGTTTCTCGGTGGCTTCGGGCAGGATGACGTCAGCCGAAGACATGCCTATTGGAAACAAGAAACAAGAAAGAAGCCACCGAGAAACAAAAGCGAGGGAAGAAAACTCAGAGTTCGCAGGTGCCTAAGTTTCTCTTGACGCCTCGTTCTGATTGGTCAACTTTGACCTGCTCCCATTTAAAAACTATGACCTTCCGGACAAAAGGAAGGTCATTTTCGTGATCAGTGGTGCTCTGATTGGTCAACTTTGACCTGCTGCCATTTAAAAACTACGACCTTCCGGACAAAAGGAAGGTCATTTTCGTGATCAGTGGTGCCTCCGGAACACCGCCATACCCCGTTGGTCAGGTAACTTTGGGACACCCTGTATATGCATACACATATCCTTTACATATACATACACCGGTACAACCATTTTACAGAATCTCCTACGGTCCAGCAGACACATCGAGCCATAATCGTCGCGGCATATATGTGAAAGAGATAAATGAGAGAGAGTAAGAAAAAGACGTAAGATGAAAAGAGAGGGAGATTAAGGACCTCTTGGTGATGCTGAGGAATGTCAAGTTGCTTTTTGAGAGGAAACTATCGCTGAGATGTCGCGCGTCGATCTTTCTCTCCCTTTTTCGAAACTGTGGCAGAGAGACGGGTGTGGCTATTGAAGAAGGGTTGAGAAAGGTCCGGGGTAAAGGGTTCAAGAAGGGATGGGGATTCGATTTGCCTTACGAAAGCGAATGCTCTGGATTCCAGGCACGTAAAAGGTTCTTTTGAGTGCAGCATCCCGGTACAGGACGCACTCTAACGTGCCAGATGAAAGGCTCACCTCTTCATGAGGACGTGTTATCTATATATTATGTATCGCGCGTGTTATATAGGTCTCTAATCCAAGGGATTTCTAATTGTAATTGAATTTCGTCCTCGTTACACGAGGATCTGCATAGCTGAAATTATATTTTAAACACCCTGTATGTATCTGCAGGTAGGAGGATGTATTACGTGCGTGGATAATAAATGACTGATTAATGGAAGAAGGAAAAAATGCTGATTACAAATTATTAAGGGTTTAAAATTATGAAATGTATTTTTAAAAAATGGCTAAAAGTTATAAAAAAGAAAATCTACGTGAAGAAAGTTTTGATTTTATCGAAATTTGCCGCGTGCATATTTTTGAGCCTTTACCTTGGGATGGACTGTTCCTCGTTTCAAGCCTTGGGGCGATTTCCCTATTTTTTGGACATTTTTCATGTATTCCGTGCTCCTGTCCCAGCGTCCCTTTCAACGTTCTGTGCCTCAACCGTATCTCGACCTCCGTGACATGTTATTTTCACGTGCCGTGGCAACTCCGCGAGAGTAATCCGAGTCTGCAGAATATTTTTGTTCGTTCAATCTTTCAAATTATCCGGGCGCGACTCGGGAATTAGAGTGCCCATATGTGTAATGAATACAACGCAATTTTAGGGTGGGTAGTGGAGCATGCAGAACATGGCTGATATTGATGAATGATCATTAGCCAATCTGTCCATCATATTCAGGGTGACGTAATAACGTAACAGGCATATATTGCAACAGGATATATTGACCCTTTTGAAATTTCACATTAATTCCAAAGATCCCCCGAGCAACGAAGTTCCATAAGCTTTTTCGAATTTTCATTCTTTCAGATAATCCCATAGACACGTCATCCTGGCATTCACTGAAAATCATAGAGAATACATGTGTATAAATTCGAGTGAAAAATTCAATACAACCTATAATACTGCCCATATTAATGTCAATTGATCGTTCGATAGGTTAAACATGAGTCTCCTGATGGAGGGTTGGAAATCCGCCGTTGTAACTTTCTAATCTCTTTCGCAGTAGGTATTGATAATTTTTTGCCGAACTCGTTGATAACGTCAGGTGAAAAGTAAATTGATAAAAAAATTTATTGTGAAAAGAAAAGCCGATATAACGGGCCCCATAGTCCACAAATGGCTTATGTTTCCAATCGGATTACGTGGTAAGCAAAAATTTCTTCCCCCTCAAAGAACAGAAGTGTTTCATCAGTGAGAAAGAATTCATCTGGGAAAACCAACCCTTCGCCTAAGATCCTGAACGATTTGAGCCGACCCTTGTTTTTTTCCACCCTTCTCTTCCCTGGGGAAGAGCCTCCTAAGTACTTGCCAGAGGGAAGAGAAGAATCTTGGTCACTGAAGAATCGTCAAGGGAAAACGAGTATCACCCTCAAATACAACAGGGATGATTCAGTGTTTAGTAATTTTTTCCCCCATATATTCAGTCTATACAACAACAAAAAAAAAAAAAAAACTGATTAAGCTACGTTTAGGTTAGATTTTTCATTGAATTCTATATTTAAGCTACAGTCTACAGATGTCTCCACTGTACTTGCTGGGACATTGACTACCTCCACTACGGTTGTGTACCATTGATCAATAAAAGCATACCAATCTCCGTGGTACAGGAGGATTGGATAAATTCAATTTTCTTCAAACTAACCTGCAGGTATATTATGATCAAATGATGATAATGTTCATAAAATCTAGTCTTCCAGTCTTGAGTCAGGAATAAAGTAATTCCCGACTGCTTTAGATCTTCCAGAGTGCTTCCTACCGTTTCAGTGACAAGGAGTAAGAACGTTCAACGATGATGTACAAAAAAGAAGACCGAAGACAAGGAGACTAGAAAGAAAAAAAATGAAGAGATTAGAAGCATAATAAAATTGCAGAGTAATGTAATCTGCTGTACCTAATAAATGAGCACAATAACTTATGCCATGAAGGAGAATCGATAGCATATTAAATTCTAAAGGGTAAATGCATATAGGATGCTGTTCACTCTACCCCCCCAGAAAGTCCAGTATGTAGAGAACATAGGATGACACATAACAGTGGCAAGTTTCAAAGTTTCAAATCCATAACGAACGGACCTACCAGGATGAGCAGAGATAAGCCGCGTGATATAGAAGGGGCCTTAAATAGACCTGTGTGTATATGTATATATATACAGAGTATGCAGATAACGTCTCGTATACAATGTTTGAATTAAATAGCACAGTACACCTACCAGCCCTGTACCAACATGGCAACACGAAACCATCCAGTTTACTGTAAACTGACGGTAAAATTACTAGGACATGTGCATTCGAGTATAGTGTATGCATCTAGACTGTGGGGACATCTATGGGACGATACAGAGAGATAAGATTAGGTTAGGTTAGACTGAATGACGTACTTAAACAGGTTCGAAAGGTCGTTCGGGCTCTTGATGAACTTACGGGAGGCCATTAAAATCTTCGTAAAATAATAGAGAGATGTGAAGCAACGAGGACGTTTATACATTTTTTATTTTCGTTGTGCTACTACACGAACTTTTTCTTTTCTTTCGTGTCAATTAGCCCACCCTGTACAGACATCGGACTCGTCTTGACCTCGTGGGTGTTCTGACGACATAAGAAGGGAGGACGTGATGGTTTTTCCGAAACTAAATGCCCATTGGGTGTATACCGAACAAGGCGTCTTGGCATCAACGTGTAAAAAATAAATTTATATCTTTCAGTTTTCAAAGCAACTAGATACAAATTGCGAAAAAGCTGCGACAGAATTTCGAGATATTTTCGATACACTCCAGAGGTTAACGATAAACATGGATCTTATGGTAATGTGAGGGAATGATGTTCCATAATCAAAGAGAAGAAAAAAAGTGCCACGTCACTCACTGTGAAATAAAGTTCATCAAGTATCCAAGGAACTTTTGTATCCATGTTCAGGCGCCATGTTTGATCGTGCATTATCACGTAATAAGTGAAAACTCATGGTGGAGTGATATGCCTTTTTTTTGGCAAATGCACAATCCACGTCCACTCAACGTCAACGAATAAATAATGAATACAGGATCGATTTCGCATTACCAAAGCCTCAAAGGCTCAAAGGCTGTGCTCTTTAATGCCCGTAGAGATATCGTAAATTGCTTACTTGCCTCTGGAGGGCGAAGAAGAAGAAGAAGAAGAAGAAGAAGAAGAAGAAGATTACAAGTGACCATAGAGTAACGAGCCAATGTTTTATACTCGTTGGAAACTGATCGTTTCTTCGTGGCATTAGCTTGAGATTCCAGTAACCTGTGTAACGTAAGTATAAAAAGACATACAATGGAACAGAGGTTACGAAGAATTTCAAAGGCTTCGGAGATGCTTTGGTTAATATTTACAAAAAAAAAAAAAAAGAAAAAGAAAGAAAAAAAAATGAAACTTACTTTTTCATTACTCTTGGAGAGTTTGCACTTAACGCACTTTCATTTTAATTTCATAGGTAAAAGAAATCCTTAAAGGTGATTCAACCCTTTTGTACTTGCAGCCAGACGGGGAGTGTAAACGAACAAAGGATTTCTCATTATTTTTCCTTGAGTAGACAAAAGTCTTTGAAATAGAGAGACCCGTAAAAGCCTCTTTTTGTGCTTGTAGTTTATATATAGCAACCATGCGGTATCCAAGAGGCAGAAAATGGCCTGGGTAATGCCTCTGTGTTTATGGGCTGACCTGATTCATGTACGACCTAACGAATTCCATGCTTTGGTCCAGGGCGTAGGTCTCGCTGCTACAGGAGTCCAGGATGAGCGCTCCAAGTGTAGTGTTGGGTAACAATTCTGAATCCCCGTTGATCTCGTCCAGAGCGTACAGCATGGCTTCCAATCTTTGTACGCCCTTTTCTTCTTTTACAGCGCCACAGGGCGATTGTCCCATAGAGCCAGACACCTGTGAACGTTATTTTGCCTTTTTAATCTTATCTACGATAATATTATTTTCTAGGCATCCAAAGTGGCTCCAGCGATTTTTAATAGAATTTGAAAATAAAGATTTTTCCAGGATAGATACGTGCCAAAGTTTCACGGTGCTCGTAAGTCCGCACTACGTGCCTTGAGTCTCAAACTTTCCCTATAGCTACGCTGAGGAATGACCCGTGGAAAAGTACATCCTCGCAAACATCCTCGTAAATCGTACAGCATCCTGGAAGTACGGCGATTCGAGCATTTTCTAAGCTGACATCGACTGCGCCCTACTTCAGGCCGCTCGAGGAACGTCTCTGTCTCTCTTATGTTAGTTGACTCCTGATATTTCCCATAACGTGAATTACTTTTGATACGAGCCGAGTCTACTTGTTACACTGACTGTACTTGATTTTAAAAAATGTATGGTACACTCAAAAACTTCAATGAATCAAATCCAAGGAAGCTATATGGAAGTTATAAATTCTTGAGTCATTTGCCTATGTTCGATGTGCATTGAGCGTCTAGAGTCGCCAAGATGGCGGACCGTGTTAATTCAGTGGCCCACGAATCTAGAGGAGCTTCGCTGTTCCAGGGATCAGTAAGAGGAGGCGACTATATCCTGACTATATACCCTACGGTAAATAAATAAAAGGTCCATCAGAATTTATCGATATATCAACCTCGATTTACCGACCTGCTCGTGCATGGGAAATATGCCGCCGAAGATGACGTCCCCGTCGATACGTATGAGCTTCGAGTTGTCCTCCTCGGCGCTGTTGCTCAGGTCGGAGTATCCGTAGCATTCGATCATCACGAGAAACAGCCATCGCCAGAGAAGAATTCTGTATGGGTTCATTTTATCCATCGGATTGACGCCGCCTAGACCCCACTGAAAAAAAACACACATTTTTTATTTTCAAAATTGCAAACAGACATTGAGGGTAAATATGAATGGCAATTTTTCGCCTAAAAATTTAATATTAATATTGCAAGGTGTCCATGTAGAACCACAGCAGATACGAAATTCATTTTGCTTATTGAAATCTATAATGAAACGGCCTCTCGTGGGATTCAGGTCAATTATATCTGGATAATTGCGGACAATAAAATTATGAATTTGCCAATTAGCCTGGTAGCACAGGGTTAACGCAACATGAAAAAAAAAAAAAAAAAAATTTCTTATAGAATTGAAATATTTTTCTCAATTTTCTTCAAATTCCTTAACACATCGACTGCCGCTCTGGATTCGGCAACTTTCAAGCGACCGATATTTTGTAAAACCCAAAGTGCTTCGTTCTCATTTATTCTTTAGTTCTTTTGGTTCGATTATGCAAAAAAAGAGTTTATTCCTACATGAAAAAAAGAAAAAAAAAAAAAGAAAAAAAAAAAAAAAAAAAAAACGCGAGCCATCGTTTAAGGATAATTTTATAAATTACACTTTGCGACGATCCCCTTTAATGAAATAACTAATTATCAGACACGTCGATTACCTTAATGGCTCGCCAGAGGCACGCTTTCAATTTTCGCAGTATTCCAAGAGCGTTTTAAAGCAACAAAATTTCAGCGTGCGAAAGCTTCCATGGATAAAACGTGTACAGCATGCAGAATCGCGTAAACACTGATAAAACGTAATCGGATCTGTGCATTGGCAAGAACATTAAAGCCCGTTCGTTTATTGCAACTTAAACTTGTTTACGCTTAAAGTCACAAACGACCGCAAAGAGACGGCAAAAGGGATTGTAAAAGACAGTCATAAACAATTCCGAAGTAAACTGTCTTCCAGAAGCTATTCACTATAATAACGTATGAAACTCATACTACACCAAACGATCGACGTATAATACTCAAAACCCAGATAAAGTCATAAAGTCCTCCGTTCATTTTGATATTCGTAAAAATTCCAAAAAAAAAGCTGTAAACCCATGTAAGATAATAACCCAACCCCACGCCAGCCCATCCCGCCGTCTACACAACCCCTATAAAAATGCTCATTAATATGGATTTAAAAAAAAAATCCTTCAATTTCCCAGAATACAACTAAATCGTACCATCAGCATCGACGAGGAGTTTGAATAAGAATTCAAAAATTTTCCAAAATCCCAACCACTCTCAATACTTACCCAAGGGTTGAACAAAAAGTACCTTGGAACTGCACCTCACGCGTGTTACGGGCTTTTTAAAGTGATTTCTTTACAGCTTCCCTTTACGATGGCAAATGAAATGGGAGCAACCCCTAATCGAATCTGGGAGTTCCCGAGGACAGGTCGATGAAGAAGGTACCATAATAGGGGTTGTTTTGAAATTTTTCCTTATCATAAAACCACGTGGTACGAGCCCGTCGATATAGGGAACGAAGAGCTGTACGACATTTAGCATATCCTCTTATCGCTCTTATCTTTCTGCCTGTACATTTTTCTTTCTCTTTCTCTTTTCTAATCCCACCCCCCAGCCCTCGCCAGGCGCAAGATCCCCCTCAAGTATCTTTCTCCTACCAACGACACCAGACATACCACGAGGACACTGTACCTTGCAAAGGATCTTCTTGACTCCCAGCACCACCGCCTACCATCCGCCCTATCTACTTCCTACCCCTATTCCTTCTCGAGGAATCACGTTCCCCATTTCGTAACCTACATATACCCCAAATGCACCAGCCGAACGTGATTTTACTATAAAAATCATAAGGGTGCGTTATCTTGAGCCGGTGCCTTTGGGCCGATTGACCCGGTACGGTACACCCTGTTACGTAATAAATACAAGAGTCCTTAGTCGGTTAGCTCAAGATACGGGGGCTTGTCTTTAAGGGATGACGGGGGGCGCAGAGGGAGTTCAGGCGTGTCGCCACCGAGTAAACATAATTTACGTGAAACAGTGAGCCGAAAAATATGACGTAACCCATAAAAGGAATAAGATTAATTCCTTGGCCCAGCCTGTCATCCCTTAAAGATATTTATCCTCGCTCGCACCTGTGAGTTCGCATTCACCCGTGAAAGAACACTATACCAACGGGCTGACACGTGAGTTATCCTTAATGCTATCCCGTTTCTTTTATTTTCTCATTTCCTCCCTTCTTTCTCTCATTCCACTCGCGTATTCTGGTTCGGCCAAAGATCCCGGAGGGAAATCGGGCAAAACGTTTATTTCTCTAGGTTAATTATGACTCGGTGGCTCTCGATAGCGACTGTTTCTTTATCTTCTTTATTTTCTTCTCTCTCTCTCTCTCTCTTCTTTTTCCACGGTGCGTACTTAACGTCGTGTTTCTCTATTAGGCTGCTTAATTATCTGTGGCAATATTCGCTCGGGGGATTTCTTGCTCCGCGCTGCTCTATATTTTTCCTCTCTTCGTTATCTCGGACAATGCCGGTTTGTTATGGCCGATGAAAATGTTCTCGTTTCGTTAACCTAAAAGATAAATATAGAGATTAGGTATCTTATGAGAAAACATTTATTTATCTTTAATTTCAATGGTCGTTCGATGCTTCGATCGGCTTCAGGATATCGAAACAGTCTTCCAGATGTGATTTGATATCGCGCGATGATTAAATCGCCCGAGCCTCGAGAGCTGTCAAATAAGAAATTTTGTTATCAGGGATAAAATCCTTGGTGAGTTTCATATTGAGAAATTCGTAATTCGATTTTATCTCCAGGACCGGGAGGAGGGAATTCTATCGAACGTTATAAAAAGAAATTTCCCTCAGAGAGAATCCTACTGCCGTTCGGCTGATACTTCTGATAGCAATACACCCTTTATTGGATGTACGTATCTTTACCATAAAAAGTTCCACCTTGATTTCTTACACCCTTATAAATATTTTCGCATCCCTTGCCAATCGGATTCTCCAAATTTTTTCCAAGATTCTACACTCGTCCATGTATACGTATATGGAATTTCAAGCCTGCAGGATTTGTAGCTACTTCGGCGTTTGATTATCGGTATCGAAGGAGTAAAGAAAAATCCTCAAGCCTCCCCCCATAGAAATTGAAACGAAAAGCTCTTGGTAGTCCTTGAGATTCACGTTACTCCGAGGGGATAAAGACGAAATCGAAGACTATTGAAAGCATCTTCGCTGGAGAAGCTAATTTACCATCTAGAGGAGATAACACAGGTGATAGAAAACATACTCTATAGATATACTCTATATATACTCTATGAATGAGCCAGCGAATAAGGGTGGTACTGTCAACTACCTTGCTAATAAGGAATCGAGATACACAAGTACCTGATACGCGTATAGAGAAATCAATCAGTTGACAAGAGATAAGAGAAATTAATAATTTCAAAATCACTGTCACCCTACCGAATAACATGGATCTGATTGATGTATTAAATAACGAGAGCTCGTTAAGTAAGACTCTTAAGGTAATCGCAAACTCTTCGAGTCGCCAGAAAGTCCAACTATCAAACGTGCACTTGACTATTGCAGTTTAACCGAAGGGAACTGCATCCAAAGGCGCCTCCTCCACATTTGCCTTGTTGGTACTGTACATTGCGGGAGACTCGCAGGAGCCCCAGGGCCGTAGGATTTAATGAGACGAAGGGTGCGGCCATTTGTAAACTGCAATCGTTGGCCAGAATCGTACGCGGCTGCAGCTGCAACAACGAAATTTGATCTATTTGGCGAACGAGTGTTCGTCTCGTGACGTTAGATGAGGATAGAAAATAGATGATAGAAAGAGAGAGAGAAAGTTAATTTATTTGATCAGAAGCGTGTGTCTACCTTGCTGAAGGGAAGCTATGCGTCAGAGAGAGAAAGAGAGAGAGAGGGAGAAAGAGGGGAAACCGACGTAGGTTATTTCAAGTGAAATAGTTTTCAACGAAATCGAGAAACGTTATCAGCCGGATATTGATTTGTCCCAGCAGCTATTCTAGGTCCGGCGTTACCATCGTCATTGCATATAAAGGACTTCGGCGCGGACGGCAGCAGCAGCGACCCCTGTGTGAATCGCAAGCGAACCGAGCTTAATTAAACTTTCCTCAACGTGGCTCGTTCCTTCTTTTTTTTTTTTCTTTTTTTTTTAATACATCCACGGAAACAAATACAAATGCTCTTTCGAAATTCGAACGAACCAAGTGGACGATGGCTGCGCGAAGTTGAGGCTTTTGCCCAGAATTTCAAAAACATACACCGGCAGTTCTGTAATTGGAGATCGCAGGGGGAGTGAAAATGTGAAAATGTGAAAATTCTTTTTTCATGAAAATTACAAAACTCTATGAGGCGACACTGACGTTTTGTGATAGGCACACCCTCCCACTTCCTCCGGAAGAAATTGACGAAGCTCGAGGAAGTCGAGGCGCGAGATTCGAATGAGCTGGATGAGAGAGAGAGGGTTGTGCGTGCGTGACGTCATGGCAAGGAACTCTAGGGGACGGAAAAAAAAAAAAAAAAAAGAAATTGTTTGGGAACTTAGGTCTGTCAGAGTACGGTCATACGTAAGTCTCTCTGGTCCAGTTTGAATCCGTGCTTCGGTCTCAACTCTTGCCGAGGGACGAAGTCTGAAAGGAAGGGTAGCCAGAAGAGGGTCTAAGCAGGGATTGCAGTTATTTTCGTATAGCCCATTGCAGGTTGGAAGAGAGTATAAGGGATGGTGATGGGGTCGCGGAACCACTTGAAAACTACGCCCCTAACAGATGGGGGATGAGTGGTCCAGATCAATTTTGAAGTAAAACTTCATTGGGGTTTGGGGTTTTGAGTTGCTCGAAGAGAATGGGGAAACAGTTTAAGGGAAGAAAAGGGTATTTTATGGAAAGAGGGAGGGGGGGGGAGCAAGAGAGAGAGAGAGAAAGTCAAAGCCTGTAGAACGTCAGGAGTTTCTGACTAACGACCAGAGTAAGAAAAAAAAAAAAAAAAAAAAAAAAAAATAAAAAAAAAAAAAAAAAAAAAAAA